AGTAGGGGCGTGTCCACGAGCTCAGGGGCTTCAGTGCGTCATCAAGTAGGGGCGTGTCCACCAGCTCAGGGGCTTCAGTGCGTCATCAAGTAGGGGCGTGTCCACGAGCTCAGGGGCTTCAGTGCGTCATCAAGTAGGGGCGTGTCCACGAGCTCAGGGGCTTCAGTCCGTCATCAAGTAGGGGCGTGTCCACGAGCTCAGGGGCTTCAGTGCGTCATCAAGTAGGGGCGTGTCCACGAGCTCAGGGGCTTCAGTGCGTCATCAAGCAGGGGCGTGTCCACCAGCTCAGGGGCTTCAGTGCGTCATCAAGTAGGGGCGTGTCCACGAGCTCAGGGGCTTCAGTGCGTCATCAAGTAGGGGCGTGTCCACGAGCTCAGGGGCTTCAGTGCGTCATCAAGCAGGGGCGTGTCCACCAGCTCAGGGGCTTCAGTGCGTCATTGAGCGTCATTTAGCCCCGCCTAAAAATCCGGAAAATGGCAATGGTGAAAAACTGTTTAACTGTTTAGTACTTCACAGTTCACAGTCTTTGTAATATGTTTTAGCAATACATTCCTAACATTAATAATGCGACTTTAAGGGTAAGGAGGCATATTGAGGATTAAACTGATTAATACAATAACATTCCTTGAATACTACATAATAAAGTACTGTGTGAGAATATATTTAGTGAATCCAGATGGAAAAGCAGTCTGCACATAGCTGACATACCTGTCTTTTAATGAGGTGGCAGGTGAGTGAGGTGTGTGTGCTCTGATAGGCTGCTGACACTGCAGATTTTTGGGATACCTTCCTGCACCTGGCTGCAGTTCACCCTCTCACACGACCTCAAAAACGTCCCACTTTTTAACAAGGCCTGAAAACGTTTAATTTTTTCCTAGCATTGACTTCTAAAAATGTTGACGTAGCCCATTCTTACATGTTCTTAAAGGCATCATTAAATCCAAATTTACTTTATTATGTGTTACTGTATGTTGTTTCACAGAAAAAGTGAAACTTTACAATCTCACATGAAAATCCAATAATAACCTTAACTACTTTTTATTTTCTGCAAATACGTCGTTTTAAAGAATGTGCTGCGAAAGCCATGTTGATGTTAATATGAATCTGGAATTGTCCCATTTGTTTGTTTACTTTGGCTGCAGGGTATAAACATCTTCCTTTTATGGACTAGTAGTGCAGTCAATACAAGTGCACGTCATGACATTTTGATGGTTACACATACAGTACTTCTTCCTGTAGGAAAAAGGCCATTTTATCTGGTTCTTAATACCACATTGTTTCATGGTGAAATGTACACCACATTACAGTAAAACGCTTTTTAATGCAACATGTCTACGCAGCTCCTCCATTTGTTAAAATCTTGGCCAGAGAAGACGGTCTGAATCCTCCTCCTACGCCAGACTCCCGCTGCGGCCGCGGAGAGTGTGTTAGCATAAACTCTGATAGCGAAGCCAGTCGATGTTAATGGACCTATATTGACAGACATGCAAATAAGGGTGATGGTTTATGTTGGCAACGCTCCGCTCTCTTCTTGAGCCGTAAATTTAGTCTCTCTCAAGTTGTCCAGAGTGGCTGAGGTCCAAAAGACGGTGGGTGGTAGATCCAAACATTTAGTTATTTAATCCTTTTGGCAGTGGGGTTGTGGATCACATCAGCTTTGGCTCTGGTTATAAAGAACAGTCTTTACCTCAACATTTATCTCAGCGAACTACGAGCATCTAACTAATGGTAGATTGTTAAGGCTAAGTGTGTTGACATTAATGAGTTTGTAATTATTTTTTACTGCGAAGCGGGTACGAGGAATTGCTTGCGGTCAGAGGTGGAAACTCTGCTACAGTGCATTATTGATTTATGAGTGTGTGTTATTTCAAATAAAATAAAAAATATCAAAATGTAAAAAAAAAAACATATTTCTCATTGTTTTATTCAAAAAGTATTTGCAAATGTTTCATGTTGACATGATTTCCAAAGCCATTTTAACTAAATCCCACACATTGTTTGAATCCAAATTTGGGTCAAATATGGACAAACCCAAATGTTGGGTTAAAAATGTAATTTCAAATTTTAACCCAACTTCAACTTTCAACTGATTTTTTTTTTTAATTGCATTCTTAAACCAACATTTGGGTTTGTCCATATTTGACCCAAATTTGGGTTGAAACAACCCAGCATTTTTTAGAGTGTGAGGACCGTTTCCCGTCTGCCATCGTTTTTAGTTTTCTTCATTAGTTGCTCCCTTTTCCCCACATAGTTTAAAGAGAATCAAAGCTGCATCGTTCGTGTGGTTTGGCACAGGCATGCGTGTGTACGTTCGCGAGCTAGAGAACATCACAGACGGAGGCTCTAAGACTGCATTCCCATGGGTCATTGCTGTGATGAGCTTTGATGAAGGGTTAAGCACTGCACTTATGAGGAACATAGTAATTTACCAGGTGAATGTGTTATTACAGCCATTACAACGCGTGCTCTCTAGACAGGAGGCGTCTCCCTGCTTGTTGGGGGAAGCCAGACCCCCGTTATGAAACATTCAAGAGGGAAAAAGTGCAACGACACGAATCTATGGACGCCTAGGAGGCTTGTACGCTAGCTGTAGCCGCACACGGGTGGTCCTTGAAAGGAAGAGGCAAATCCGTTTCCACATTCTCTCTCTGAAGACAGGGCCTTATTGTCAGTTGTGCACGGCGCTAGACTAGCACACGCCACCAAAACACAAACACAACCTGAATTTCAATCGTAAATTTAGTATGTGAGGTCAGCATCATCGCTGCCAGAGCGTGATTCAATTTGAGTTGATCGTACACAGTTGTGACAGTTTTATTGAGCTGAGTCAGTGCTGTTTGCTCAAGGGCTCAGATATGAAGAGCAGCCATGCTCCTGCAAACAGAAGATCCTGCTAAAGATAGACCGCATTCCTGCGGTTCGCGAATGCAGGCACATCGGTTCTGCCAGATAAGGAAGATCGGCTCGATCTCTTGCTCTCCACTTCTCACTCGCATTCCTTGCTTTCCCTCTCCCGCTGTTGTTTTTGTTTTGTCCATTTTTTTTTCTCTCTCTCCCTCCCTCTCTCAGCATTATGTGAATATGGAGGAGGGGTTCGGGAGGAGAGGTGTTTCCTGTCTCTGCTTCTCTTGTGTGTGTGTGTGCATTTGTGTCCAGCAGTAACAAAAAGTGATGTTGCTAACTTTTTAGTAGCAGGACAGTTAAGCATTGCTAAAAAGTGTTTACTTTCCAACAACCAGCCACATTTCTCAGTAGAAAATTGCTATTTTTTTTTTTCTGAGGCAATAATCAAACAGGCTGTCACTCAAGTAGCATTTTTGCTGGGTCGTTTATGTAAATAAAGTGGTTCGAAAAATATTTTACGCTATTTCCACTTGGATTAAGTGTATTTGCTTAAAAAATTGTTTGGTGAGATTGAAAATATCAAATTCATAAAACCTGATAATATTTTAACAATATTCACTTACAATTTTACTTATAATATATACGAATAACTATTTTTTTTAGGTCTGTCAAACGATTAATCGTGATTAATCGCATCCAAAATAAAAGTTTGTGTTTATATAATATATGTGGGTGCACTGTGTATAATTATTTTGTATATATGTAAATACACACACAAGCTTGCATATATTTAAGAAATATTTTCATGTATATAGATTTACATATATAATTTATATTATATACAGTATAAATATAAATATTTTATATATAAATATTTTTTTTCTTATTTTTTTTAAAAATATAATAATTATACACAGTGCACCCACATATATTATATAAACACAAACTTTTATTTTGGATGCGATTAATCGTTTGACAGCCCTACTATTTTTCTATTCAATCCTGTCTGTAGTTTTTCTATTTTTCACTATTTGTTCTTTTCTGTTACAACTTTAGTGCAATAATAAAAATTAGAATAATATATGAGTTCTGCTACTGTGTTTAATTCTGGTTGTCCTATTTCACTTATTTTCAGTTATTTTCCACCTATTTCTTGTGATAGCTTGAAAAATATTGCCCCTTTAAATATCTTCAATGTAGTTAGCTGCTTTTTATTAGCTAATAACTTTTTTTTAACCTACAAATCAAGCAAAAAGTGTTTTCATTTTTAAACATGCATTCCGCAAGCGAATCCCAGCTAACCAGCAACAGTGCCGTGATCACAAAAGAGAGGGAGGGAACGAGAGAAAAAAAAGGGAAGGAATGGAATGGGCAATAATTGGGAGTCGGGAAGGGAAAGAGCGAGAGAGGGACAGTGTCGGAATGGGAGAGCGAGAGAGAGAAAGGAAAAGGGGGAGAGAGGGAGGAGGCAGACCCGTCGGCCGTGATTGTGAGTTTGCACCATAATGGGAGGGAGAAAAATGGAGGAAAGTAGGGAGGGTGAAAAAATGGGAAAGGAAGAGGCCGGCTTTGGCCCAGCTGCAGCGAGAGAGAGAGAGAAAGAGCCTGAAATACTCTGAGCTGGAGTGTTATCGAGCTGGCGAGAAAGAGTGAATTTCTGCTATGTTTTGAAAGCTAAAATGTTCCAGAGGTCATCATCACTAAAGTGAAGGTAGGGTCACAGTGTTGAGATTAATGACAGCAGCTCTATATCTCCTGGGTGGCCTGGGTTCCTCCACTATGTACCCTGCAGTATATATATATTTAGTCAGAGTCTTTCTGCTTGACTGAGTGGACATCCTGTGCTAACATCTTTTCCTCACCCATTCTCTCTCCCTCTCTCTTTTTTTCTTCATTCTTTCTCTCCCACAATTTCCATTTTAAGTGGTATTATGAAAACAAACTTGTGATCTGTTTGATGTCGGGCTGAGAAAAGATCGACTGTAAATGTCTTGCATATGGGAATGCGTGATTTTTGTGAAAAGGTTAAGCAAATACTCACAGCAGCTGTGGAATCCAGACGTGCTCAACCATATTCAGTAACGCGGAGGATTCTGTGAGTTTATGTACGGTTCATGCGTGAGACTAAAAGACACACATGTTCTGTTGTTTTCCAGGGTCGTACTCTCAGGATTGAAGCATGGATGATGATTTCGAGCGGCGCAGGGAGCTCAGGAGACAGAAACGGGAGGAGATGCGTCTGGAAGCCGAGAGGTAACGCGGGCGTCATTAATGCTCGCTTTGCACCGTAAACCCAGGGCTGTTAATGAGGTTGAGATCATCAGATTGATTGCACAGCCACTGCTTGTAAAGATTGTTCACCTTGCTCAAACATGACAGCTTGCAAACTGTGTGACTGCTCTGTGGCCAAATGAGTCTTTCTGCATTTGTGCAAGATTTAAAAATGCTTTTTAATGTGTTTTCAGAATCTTTTTTCGGGGGGATTAAGCGAATGCTCGGTTTTATTCGATATTATTAAAGAAGGCAGTTGTGAAAGGGAATAGTTTGCCCAAAAACATCAGTTCTGTCATCTTTTATGAACCCTCAAGCTGAGACTCTTTTATCTGTGGAACGCAAAATACCAAGAATGGTGATGCTCTTTTTAATATACTGAAAGCAAACAGTATGTTTCCATCCATGGAGTAAAATTGAAATTGGACACAATTCAGTTGTTCAGACTCACTAACATTCTGGATTGCAAACTATTGGTTATTATTTTGGCGAGACCTGCAAATCGCGTTTACAATAGTGTAAGATTCATAAATGTATGCTCATTGCTCCTGCATGTATTTCCTACTTTCCTAACTCTTAAAGGGGTGGTTGATTGCAATTTCACTTTTTTCATTTTAAATAGTGTGTAATGTTGCTGTTGGTGCATGACCAGTATCTGCAAAGTTGCAGCGCTGAAAGTTCAATGTAAGCAGAGATATCGTCTTTTAGAAATCAGGAAGTTTAATGCCTACAGAAACGACACGATTGGGACTACAACGGGTTTTAGACGTCACTAACCCACACATTTGCATCAACCTCTCCCTCGTTGAAGTGTGTTTTGTTCATCCAGTTGTCAGGTCTTCTGTGTTCGGGCTTCCCACAGACGTAGTTCGTCAACAATGGATACAATTTATGTTTAATTATGTTCCTGAAAATTACAATCATAATTTAGCGCTCTTTACAGAAGACAGCTTCCAGAATCTCCACGAATTCAATGCCGGATTCAACAAGAAACTGTTACTAAAACATGAAGCAGTTCCAACTTTAAAACCAGAGGCAGCAGTTGTTGGGTCACAACCTGTAAGACTTAATCATTTTAAATGTATTTGCACGTGTAATTTCAGACGTAATGTTTTAGTTTTATATAGCCACTAGGCTACTAGTTCGCTATATGCTATTTCGCGTCTACGACAAACGCGTACAAACATTTTGGACCTGAATTTTGTATATGTACTAATGTTGTAAATGTATTTTTAATCAGTGTTGTAGTACTCGAGACTCGGACTCGTCTCGGACTCGGTCTCGAGACCATATTTTAATGGTCTTGGTCTTGTCATGGACTCGTGTCGATTTGGACTCGGAATTGACTCGTACTCGAACATTTTTTTTTTTAGGACTCGGAATTATTCCCGAGTCCACTCGAGTTCAATTAAAAATATTTTTCATGATTATTAATGTATGTTAATAAAATATTTCTTTAAATTGATTGACACGCCCAGTGATTGGTGATTTTCTAGTGCGCAACTGCGCATGACAAATTGTAATAAAATTACTTTTAACACCACCTACTATGTGGCCGTTTTACCCTAAACTGATCATATTTTTAAAACTCTAAAGTTTGAAGTAAATTCAGTAAAAAAAAAAAAAAAAAAGGATTTCTCTAAGTAAATAAAAGTAAATTAGGTAATCAACCCTCACTGGTCTCGGTCTCGACTCGGACTCGACCGTCTCTGGTCTCGGACTCGACTCTCTATGGACTCGGTCTTGACTCGGACTCGACTCTCTCTGGTCTCGGTGTCGACTCGGACTCGAGTGAGGTGGTCTCGACTACAACACTGTTTTTAATGTGTATATATACTTTATGACGTTATTTTTCGATTTGATCAAGAACGTAAACCAGTGCCAACGCTGTTTGTGTATATAGTAGCCAGTCAATTTGATGCTATTTTGTAAAACAAACGTGTATAAAGTAAAGCAAATTACCATTCAGAAATGTTTTGCAAGAGCCGTGTGGTGAGGTTCTGCTTGTCTCTCTTCATCGCCGCTTTCTGGCTCATACTGATACTGAAGTTCGACACCATTATTTACATTTGACATGCACACATGCAAGTTCGCCCTTAAAGGTAATGGGCGTGAAGTTTCCGGACAACCTGCAATACAGACTACAGCCAATCACGACACACCAGGCCCAAACTAACCAATCTGAGCCCACTGCCTTTTTCTGAGGGTGTGGTTTCATAGACTCAGGAAGTCAATCGGTCGTTCAAATGACAGAGGAGAAAGCGGCTTACAATAAAGGTGAAGTTTATGAAAAATAAGACTTTTTAAAAAAGAAAAACCATGAATACATACTAGATTGCACCCCATAAACATGCAAAAGAAATAAATCGTGGAAAGAAAAAAAAGCAGTAAACCACCCCTTTAATCATTCTTCTCATTGTGGGAAAAAATTTAAATCACAATTTGTAAGTAATCACTGTTTTAATGCTTTTGTAACCCAAAGATTGCGCTATCAGCTCTTTTTTTCTTTTTCTGTGATGATATTAAAGCAGAAATCTGGTGTTAACGTAACAAATAACAAACATCAACGGACTGGCACTTTTGCGAGCCACTTGACCATTTAAGGCAAAGTGACGCTCCCGTTAAAAACTGGAGGCACTGACCCAAATATACATTTTGCATCAGACTAGATTATCTGTGAACACAGACAACAGCTGCAAACACAGACAACAGCTGTTTCTTGAACATTTATGCCCCTGTCAAAAAGAGTTATGGGTAATGGCTAATAATGCAAATCAAGCTTATTATCATACCAGGAGAGCACACGATTGCATGAATCAGCTCTACATCAATATCTTTCAGCAGCAATTATTTCTATTATCATTGGCTAGACCAGAGTAACTTGGTGTACAGTTAGTTTCGAGTGTCAGCTTCCCGTCTGCAACGGCTTTCCTGTTTCCTCCAACCGTGTTACCATGAAGCAGGAATGCTTTTCTTTTTTATGATTTAAGATATATGGGACATGTTTCACCTAATCGTAGGGCGGAAGCGTAAAGCTGATGACGCACAGATTAGGCACCATTATATTTTACAGCAGAGCATAAAACAAATGCTTTTTTTGGCTATATGTTATAAACCTCTGAAAAAGGTGGAATTGGGTTTCCTACGCCAAGTATCGCATTTGGCAGAAAGTTACAAATGAATCCCGTTCAGCTCTGCGACACAATGTGATCTTGTGTTTATGTTCTCGTGGAGAATTTGGCAAGCTCCTCTTTGCCTGCTCGAGTTAGTGATAAAAGATTAAAACGCTCTATTAAATTACTTTCATTATGCAAAGATGCTGTAACAATCAATATTTACTCGTTGGCGGTAATTGTACTAGTCAAAACCATGTGTCGTCCTGTGGGCCCCTTCCATTTCGGCCATCATCACTTTGCACGTCGTAGACAAAAGTCAGTTTTTGATGTACATATGATAAGCGTTGTCGCTTTGCCAAATGTCTCTTCATTAGAAGTGTTTACTGGCAGTGATTTAGGATGCGCTCCGTCTCCAGACGGTCCTCAGTGCAAGCAGAGGGACAGCGGGCAGGCAGATGTTGGCTCGGCGCTGATGTGGAGAAACAGAAAGTCCGATAACACATACACATGCAGGAGCAGCTTGGCATCCGAGTCCAGCTGCTTTTCCATCAGGCGATGATGGCTTGATGTGCGCCAGTCTTTTTCTTCTGGAAGACGTGCCAGTGTTTCATAAGTGTGCGAGAGAAGGAGGCTGTGTGTTCTGTCTTTTGTCTATACCGTATGCATTACTTTTAAAGAGGCTATATGCAGCTTTTCCCCCAAAATAAACGTAACAATACCTTTTTAAAAAAAAAAAAAAAAAAAAAAAGGCCTTGTCCGCTCACAGTGGGTGCACCTATAGACCATTTCACAAGATGTAAACAACACTGGTCCAGAAGCACTTCCTGTTTCAGTTTTTTAACACTACATAAAAGCTGGGATAAAATACAACCAACAGAACATTTAAAACTGAATCAAAAAGTTAAACAAACATCTTTAAGATGCTTTCTTTACATGTGAAATAAAGAAAACAGTTACAAACTGAAACAGGAAGTGCTTCTGGACCAGTCTTGTTTACATCTTGTGAAATGGTCTATAAGCCTGTATCCTATTTTTCCTATTTTCTGTCGGGTCTGACTTTTCCCGCGCTGTCTGCGGATGTGGTGTCATGTTAAACGTTGCAGATCACTCTGCCACCACCGCAGCAGCCTACACTCGCAAGCAGAACACTTTATCTCAAACAATGTTCTTACCTCTGTAAACCTAATGTTGACCTCCTTGCAGCAGATGACTAGTGAAGTGTGCACGTAAAAGCGCACGTTGCGAGAGCAGTTCTGTGTTTTGGCCACAGGTGTCAGTCGCGAGTTTAACCCTTATGCTGCATTAGGGACATTTTTGGTCTTTTGCAGTTTAATTTCTTTGACCATTTTGGCTGTTTTAATGCAAATGGTATGAAATTTGGCAAAATTGTGACTTTTTGGATACATGTAAAAAATGTGATCCAGTTTTTTTGCAAAATATGTATAACACACACTGTGTAGATCAAATAGTAACACTCAGCACCATAAAGACCAAAAATGGCCCATTGAAACCCATTAAAACGTTGTTTAAATCTGAGGCTGTCAGTAATACATGAAACATGATTTTTGCACAAACATCCTTTCATTTTGAAGCAAAAGCATTATATTTGCATTATATAGTGTATTCCACCAGATGACGTCACTACATATTTATTCCCTATGGGTGGAAATGCACCTTATTTTAGGCAATAGGCAATGTTTAATAGGTGGCCATTTTTGGTCTCTAACGCGCTAAGTGGGATTTTTTGCAAAGTGGGACTGTGATAATCCAAATCTAAAGTTTTCTCTTTGCATTTAGTTTATTGAAAATAATTGAATTTTTGTGTTTTTTCCTCTTATACAAATCGATGGTTTCGCAAACAAAACT